AATTGTTGTTAAACGTTAATTTTTATTAAACATAAGACTGAGGGTAAAATGGTAATTTTATGTCATTCAGACAGTTGATTCAGAACAGTTTCCAAACAACCTTTTTCTATCTGACACTAAATCATACAGAGTCTCTTAATCATTCTGACCACTTAATCATACTGCACTAAACCATTCAGCAACTGCCAAACAGCCCCTAAATCGGACAAAGCTTGTCCGGATTATTCTTAAATCGAACAAGGGTTAGGCGATTAAGCCCTAAACCGAACAAGCGTTAAGCGGTTTAGTTTTAAACCGGTCAAGCATTGAGCGATTTATGAATGATAAGTATGGTAAACATTTTGAACGTAGAAGTATGAATACGACCATGTGGTGACCGGATTATTTTAAATCGGTCAAGCTTTGGACGATATGTTGTCCGGACTTGTTATCCGGACAAAGGTGTTGGAATTTATTCTAAGTGTTAATCGGACAAACCTTGGGCGATGAGTTGTCCGGATTTAGTAAACCGGCCAAGACTTGACCGGAGATGAAGTCCGGTCAAGCCTATGTTGACCGGATTTGTATTAGGACTTGTGCTTGATTGATAAAAATTATTATTTTATCATAAAATGGAAGTTTGACATAAATGATTTTGGATTGATAATAATTCCATTGGCTGCGGTCTATTTTGAATTGTTTTTGTGAAATGTTTTGATGAGGAAATAAGGGTGGCATATCAAGGAGAGGTGTACCATGGGATAAAGGTGGCATATCAAGGAGAGGTGTACATTTGATATAAGGGTGACATTTGTATGTGTGTTGTATGATATAACTCTTTCTATTATATCCCTTAAGACTACCGTGGTTTGGAATCTTTATTTATTTGTCATTTAAAGATTTAGAATCAATGTTCTTATTGGAAATCGTAGTCTGGATGTTATTGAGGAGAAAATAACAAGTTTGGCCTGAAACTTTAATAAACCTTGTTTGATTATAAAAGGTTTAAAAGTGGCATTATATGAAACCTGGTTGGTTCAAAGGTATGATATTTGAATAGCTGAAAGGATCTGGTATTATGTTTCTATTTGTTCATATATTTGTTATATATATGAAAAGTTGTTTTCCATAAAGGTTTTGGTGATTTTCACCCTGCAATAACATAAATAGAGTATCTCACTAGATCTTTCGGTCTAACCCTCGTTTTATGATTTTAAATATGTATTGCAGGAGGTACCGACGGTAAGGGGAAGGGGAAAATGTGATATTTTCTTATATGCATTTCTACATGAAGAAGTGTTTAATGATGTATAGTTTTGATTGATGAACGTTGATTAGTACAAAAAATGTATTTGAATTTTTGGACCTTGTATTCTGTAATGATAAATTCTTGTACTAAGGGACCTGAATGGTATATAAGCATGTATTTCTTCTGTATGAAATATATGTTACATGCAATGTGTAGTATAAAGCGTTACAAGTCGGGATCGTTTTTTACGCTTCTCACTATTTTCCCACCATCTTTCGTCTATATTTGTAATCCTGTTTCACACTATCTCATTGTATCTCTTCATTTAATGATTCACATACATGTATCAAGACCCCAAAATTTGGTCCTGAATTTCCTTAAAAAACAATAACAATTTTGGCATGCAATCAAGAACGAAAAACACCCCAGATTGATTATATCCTACAATACAACCTTTCCTAAACATGCCAAACTCATCTCTACTCCATCTACTTTAACTCACTCACACTCATATATACGTAAATTATCGATTCCGTCGATCGTGGGATATATTTTACACTTTACGATTTCCGTAATCATCTCCCATATCCTTCACTGTTTCTTCCACGAGATCTCGAATGATCTGACATTCAACCTCTTTTGTTAGAGCATCAATGTCCTCGCTTACCAATTCTGACCATGGCATAGACCGCAAATCTCTAGCCACCATGGTGTCGAAGAAGTAGAACGATTTGTCGATAGGCGGATGTAAATACTCGCGTAACATGCCCCACACCTGATTCAATAATGTGTTGCCACGTGGCAGTCTCGCCACTTTCCTACCGAACTTGGATATGTGGATCGGAGGGGCTAATATTGTCGAAAGTATTTCGTTTAGTAAATCGAGTAATACCTTGTGATGCGCCTCTTTCTGGTCGGCTTGTTCCTTTGGTTCAATGTGGTTCATCTTGTGTTTGTGTGATTCCTCTACTTGCTGGAAGACCCGGCTGGTAATCGGTTTTGCAAAGGTGTCCCATCTGGATAGAGATTTATCGAACGAGTTATCGTATAAACCAGAAGCGATTAGCAAGTCTCGTACATAAGCTTCATCTTCGTCTTCAAGCTCTACCATATCAGACTCGAAAGACTGGTCTTCAGTCACCGTCTCCTCTGATCGACCAGTCTCGAGTTGATGCAGTTGCTTCCTTAGCTCTGTCAGATCAAAACCCGAATCTTTTTCGTTAGATTTGGCAAAAGCTAATCTAATTCTAACATCAAAAGTGGAAAAGGGCACTCGACATATCCGTCATAAAGATCACTATCCATCCGTCAGAAAGAAAGAAAGGACCGCCCCCGGGGGCGATTGGGTGACGGGGATCGCCCCCGGGGTAGATCCACGCAAAACGAGGTGAATAGTGTTGTATGCATGTGGGACCCACCAAAAATGATTTTTTTAAATTATTTTTTGTACTTTTTTATCAAAACGAAAGAGATCGCCCCCCAAAGTCATGGATCGCCCCCCGGAGGCGATCCGGGTGGACGTTTTTGCAATTTCGTGAAAAAATGGTTATTTCGTTAATATATCGGATATATTTTGGTCATTTTGGTGATTTTCCCTTTCTAAAACATGTTGGAGGTACATACTAAACAAAGTCATAAACAGTGTTCCGATTCTCTTACCGTTGAGGTTAGAACTGATGTCTCTGAAAGGTTGCGGCAGATCATTATCGTCTGATGTAACTGCACCTGGTGTTGTTGAAGGGCTGACACAATATGCAGCCCTATAGAAGTCCTCATGGATACTGCTGCACACGGATGCTGGGCTAGGTGGAACTTCGGTTGAGTTTTCCTACAATGGAAACACATGAATTTGTCAGCAAACACATAGGACGGAATCCTTTGGTTAAATGACCTTCTGACAGGTTTTTTTCTTAAAATCCACAACCTTTTAATATGTTTTAGAGTGTCAAACTTAATATAAGGTCGTAGATTTATTAGTTAGCTAATTAACCTTAGCTTGTATGTAGGACAGAACATTTGAAAGAAACCAAAAAAGTGTCTGTGGTGGGTGTCCTTACGGGTCTTTCGGCAAAATTCATCGTAACTGTCGGTCCATTCATGATGTCTTTCACAAAACTCCGGTCATTGTCACGGAATTCAGTAGCGGAATGTATCTTTCTGGCAAACAACCTTGCCCTGAGAGATATACTGTACTTGAAACTTGACACTCTCTCCTTCAAATTGAACTTATCTTTCCTTTGTTTTTTCACCTTCATTGTTAACTTCTCATTAGTTTCATGCTTCCTCCGGATGTGAGCACCAGTTACAACATGCCGATCTTCGAGAAGAAGCTTTCCGAATGATGTTCCAGATACTGGAGCTGATAAAGATCTGACTAGATTTATAGGAGATAAATCCCTTTGGAGAATCATATTCATATCATCAGGCCCACATCTGAAAGATTTGCTTTGAATATCGTTTTCATCTTTCAAGATATCGCTAGATTGTAATGTTCTGTTTAAGATGGATGATTTTGAAGTGTTTTCAACATCCATTAAAGTATTTGAATGTGATTCTCTCTTCAAAACATTCCTTAGTCTTTCTGATAAAAGTCTTCTTGTATCTCTGCTGATGAACTCAGGAGAACTGGCTCCACTGCACTGAGATTCACCTCTATAAGATCTTGTTGATTCAGATCGAAGCAAATTTGCTCCAAGATCCTTAGTAACGCTCTCTCTGACCTGTTTGGCGATCCGTTGTGCTATTTGTTTTGGATCTGATGGTCTCTCACTGTAAGGTGTTTCGATTCCGCCGCCTCTAACTACTCCTCCCCTCTTGAAAGTTTTCCCTTGCAACTCAAATTTCAGCCTTTCTTTTACTTCCTCTAGAAAATCTTCAATATTATTTCTATCTTCTGAAGCACCTGAGGAGCTGGCGGCCCATGGCTCTTCAGGATAACTAATGTTGTCAAAGCCAGGCCTCAAAATGACTATCCTTGTTGGTGTAGAATATGCTCCAGTTTCTTGATCAGGTCTTAAAAGAGATGACTTGAAGTCTTCACTTAATGTTTTCCGCCTCATGGGAAATGATCGCTTGTCATCTGGTGAGAGAAACTCGTATGAATTACTGCGATCATGCAAACCAGCTTTCAAAGAGCGTGATTTCTTTAGATCTTGGAGTTTCTGGCCCTTTGTTCCTGAATTTGCATATAGAGCCATCTTTTCGTTGTTGAGATTCTCTTGAGCCATCCATTGGCCAGGGGTGGAGCCATGTTCAACGATTTTTGAACATTCTTTAAACCTTGCTGATTGCCATGCTTCAAATTCTTTCTTAAACTTCTGCAGTTCCTCCTCTTGAGGATGTTCCCGAGGCATGAGTTTCTTTGAGCTACCACTCCATTCATCAGGATCGCTGTCTTCATCAACATGAAAGGAATCCAATCTTGTCTGCCTAAAAGATTTTGAAGGGGAAATCCCAGAGCCCACGGAACTACATCTGGTTAGTTTTTCTTTTGACAGATCATTTGCTGGGATTTCCTTTTTCTCCTCGGTTCGCTGTGTTACTGATTTTGTATCTAGTGGCAACGTATCCACTCCCATTAGACGGGCCACAATGCTGGGGGAGTTTGCTCTGTTTTTTGCCCTTTTTAACATCTCATCATTTATTAACTTCTTCATTGGAGCCTCGTCTGGATAACAGCTCGTCTCAGACCAATCCTGTGGCTCTTGATACTTATGCTGAAACGTTTTAAGGCAGTTTGCAAGTCAAAATGAATGAAAATTACACATGAGATAGACTCAAATATGCATATGCATAAAAAGCCAGTGAGGTTATTTGAATAACCAATATGGTGCATACTTGGTTTGGTTTACTTTATTTGTATAAAGGATTTATGCACTATCAATCTTAGGAAAGCACAAACATCTGCCCAGGCAAAATTACGAGATTGCTGAGGTTAAAGGAACAACTAAGGATCCCAAATGGAAGTCTCCAGATTGCTAATTCAAAGTAATACAAACAAGTGCATAAATTACAACTTGACAGCCCAGGAAAAATTACGAGATCGCTAAGGTTTAAAAGAAAATAAATAACAAGCTTACCTGTCCATCTTGTGGGGGGTAATGGCTCTGGCATGTTTCTACAGAAAGCTCTAAACTGTTGCGTGGAGCCTCTAATCCTGCAGAGGATTGAAATCATTTAGCTACCTCCTTGATAATACTATTTCTACCTTGTGATATAGCTTGCTAACAGACAGATGAGATGAATTTTAGGAAGTGGATCAACTACAACTAATGAGTTCAGAAATATCACAGAACAAAGTCTATGACTTCGAATGGACAATGGAAACTGGAAAGGGTGATGCAGTTCACTTGCAACAACAGCATACACTCATTGTCCCTTGGTGATCCAGAATAGTAATAAAAACAGCAACAATAATACAGATGGTAATAATAGTGGTAGTTGTACTTGTTAATGTTAGTAATGCTTACCACCAACATTTTTCTTTTGTGTTCCAAACTTCCTAGCCATCCTTCCTTGCTTTAAATCGGTGAGGTGGAAGAATCCTCCCATACAGTAGTGTCAACACCACGAAACTGAACGTGCTTAATGTTGCAGGTTTGACTTAGTCCACCAGCACCAAGGCAGTTGCTGCCAAAGAATGAGGAGCGGAATGGTTCATTTCACTACCTGTAAAGACACCACAAAGATAACTCAATATCTTGGAGTGCAAGTAACCTTCGAAAACAAAATAAGAAATTAAAACAAAATTGGTGGAACATCAAATATGCAAAGGCCACGATGGGGCCTACGAGATCATCCCACTCAGAAAACTGGTTTATCATGTACTTAGGAAACACAATTGCAGGGGATCTATGTGCAATAAGGCCGATGAACAAAATATGTAGTTAACAAAGTCAAGAAACACTTACTCATCCAACTTACAATCTTATAAGCCAGATGATCCCACATGACCACATGTGATATGCGAGATTTTAGGGCAAGAAAAGAATCACACAACTGCTTAACTTCATTCACTGACAACTTTATGCGGCAGGGATGGTCTTCATTCAGCTCGACATGTTGATAGTGGAACCCAGAAATTTCATTGTTCTTCGAACTCATTAAACTTACATGGATGTCAATTTAAATATAAATACACAGAAATATGAACATCTGGGTCTAAGTAATTTTATAAGACTCTCTCTCTGAATTGTTATTGTGATGTCTAGGTTTTCTTACAAACACATTCATCTAGCAACTGAAGTGCATTATAATTAAGCAGAGTCTGGCCCTACATGTTACGTGTGATAACCCCTTTCGGTCTATGGTTACAGTTCTTACCAAAATGGCACTTGAGTACAAGTGCTGATTCAACATGATTAAGGTCATTATCACGTACCTTGTTACAATCAAAAATCAAAAAGTTAATGATTTCTATTTCTTTTTGTGTAATTACCTTATTCAGTAAAATGGAAGTTACTCCACTTGTACCAGGGCAGCCCAAATAGAAATCCCTAGAAGAAATTTAAACCAGGTAACTGGCTTTTTTTTAACTCTTCTTCCACATTCACCCGTCCTTCAGTAAAATTAAGTAGTAGTTTCAACCCAGAAACTGCAACAATTTCGTTCCTTTAATTGATCAATAACATCTCTCCACTTTTATCTATATTCAAAGATGCTTTTCAGACATTTGACTAACATACCGGAATTTTAGACGATACAAGCAATCATTTTCCAAACTTCTTGAGGACGGAAGGAGAAGTAATTACCGTACTTAATACAACTCTTAACTCAAAGTTTCATCATAATTCATAAACAAATAAACCGTATTGAAGAAGGAAATCATCATACACACCAATCAGCTAATAACTTCGATTCCAGGTCGGCATGGATAAAGATCAAACAATAACAACGACCACATAATCCAACAAGCCAAAACAATTCCAATTCATGCAAAATCCTCTGTTGTTACCAGAAAGAACATGACGACAATCAAATCATAGTAGAACCGCAAAAAGCAATATCAAATACACAGCAATTCACCAATCAATCATCACTAGATAATTCATTCGATAAAAATCATCATAAATGATGAAAAATCAACAAACTAACTCCTTCGAATTCATCAAAAATCCGATGTCATCATTGCCAGAAAAAATCAAAAAGAAAATTCTCGGAATTACAAAATACCGTTATCATCGTCCTGATCAAGTGAATCAATCATCAGCATCCAGAAATTCCTTCAGATCCGAACCAGAAATTCAAGCTTGTAAATTGTAATAATAATCATCCTCATCATCATTCATTTGAGGAATTTGCGAAGACCGAATTGATGAGAGAGAGAGGGGGGAGTAGAAGTTATTGACAGACGAGCGTAGCAGAGAATCTGAGCCCTTTTAGTCGGATGGAAATAATTATGGCGAGGGGAGGAAAAAGTTGTGCTGCTTTGCTTTTTAGCATGAGACTTCCCACGACCAAAAAGCTCTACATCGTGTTGTCTTTTTTATTTTATTTTTCTATTTTTTTTCCTTTTAAAACGGTTTTTTTTTCTTTAACGAAATAAATCATTTCAAAATATACAAAAATATGGTTATTGTTATTTAAAATCACTATAACAGTACTCGTGTAATACCGTGAGATACATTTTTATTTTAATGTTTTGTTTTGTTTTATTTTTTATATCTATTGATATAATACGATTTATGTGTTTTTGAGAAACATAATGTTTTTATTTTTGAATAAAAATAAGTTTGAAGACATCAAAGATTTTGAAAAAATATATCGATATTAATATCAAATTATCTATTTAAATTTTCTTTAATTCAATTTTTTATTTTAATTTAATTTAGGTCAAACAGTGAAGTAATTTATTTTTGCCTTAACGATAAACTTTTTATAAAGATAATGATTCTGTTAAAACTTAATGATTATCTTAATTATATTTTAAAGTTTTTATATTTAAAATGAGTTGTTTATCCTGTATTTGGTTATGTTTATCTGCAGTTAGTTATACGAATTCAAAAATAGAGCTTTAATAAGTTGTATTTGTAATCTTAAATTTTAAGTAATATGCATTAATACACGGTACTTCATGCATAAAAAATGATTTTTAAGAGTTTTTGTCAAAATACTTTATAATATAGTATAGATAATATTCAGTTTTCAATTTTTTTATTATTTGTCATCTAATTATGTGATTCAGGGATCATTTACAATACAACTTATCAGGTAAGCACTTACCGGATGTCATTTACCTTATTGGACAAGCATAGCAAGGTTCGAGCATCTTATCCAATAAAAAACATGGAAAGGACCGATAATCTTACCTAATAAGTAAAGGAAAAGAATCTTACCCCATAAGCATTACTGAGTAAAAAACGTTTACTAATAATTCATTTTGGTGGCTGAGAATATTGTCTTATAAAGTAAGTAAGAATGATAAAAAAAATTATAGCAATTAAAAATATTTACAAAAATGGTCACCTGCATTCTTTTAACTCAAAAAAAGTTACATGTAACCGACTAGCAATGTTTTACAGTAAAAAAATATAAATCAATTATATTGTTCTCAAACATTACGTCATTCAAACCATTGGCACACAATTCCCCTCATCACTCATCATCGTCCCATCATTGTCTGTTCTTTCTAACGTCCATTATCGTCGTTAGACTTTGCCATTGATCTCCATCTGTTTAATCTGCTTTTTTTTTTTAATTCTCTCTTTTTTTAGAACAATTTAATAGAGCACATATAGACATATTAGAAAAGACGGAGGATCAAAAAAAACAAAAAAATCAAAAATAATGAGATCGATGGTATGGGTCAACAACAGTGATGAGCTATGATAAAGAGCAAACGACAATAAGGCAATCAGGGGTTTGAATGACGTAGGATTGGGAGCTGTAAAACCGATTTGATTTTTTTTTTTACATTAAAACATTCCTAGATGAGGGGTTCGATGGTTTAGTTATTAAAAAAAATTCAAGGTCTTGATCATTCAAAATGAGAAAGCTAATGTTCATTCAAGAAAAAGTTGCAAGGACTAAACCATTTAAGATGAGATAAAAAAAATTCATTAAATAAAAAATGTAGAAACTAAATTATTTAAAATGTAAAAATTGTTCAACTTTGTTAACTTTTCAGTATTTAGGAGGTGTTTTGGATTGCTTATAAAAACAATTTATTGACTTATTTCGGTGTGATACTGGTAACACTTTTGAGTGTTTGGATAAACAACTTATACTGGTGTCAAATCGGTAATAAGGAATTTTTAAAAAAGTTAAACTCTTCTAACTTATAACAAATTGATAAATACTTTATAAAAAAAACATAAATTGTTTCAAATAAACAATCCCAAACATCTCAATAATTATTATAACTTCAAACAAGATAAAGGTATTAAAATGGTATCATCTATGACCACTTCTATTATAATGATTTAATATCTCATAATCATTTTTAAAATGCATCTCTAATTTTCATAAATAAATAAATAGAAAACTTTTTAAAATTATTGTGATTTTCGTGAGTGTTATCGAGTGTGTGAGGGAGTATTTAGTGTTATGATGGTCTTGAAGCAATAAACCTTTGATTTGGTTGAACTTTGATAGTCAAAAGCCGTCTCGTTGATTTAGTACTAAACACTCGATGCTATGAGCTGCCTTCATGTTGCTTTTGTTTATATTTTTAATTATTATTATTATTATTATTATTAGAGCAATTACAAATTTCGGCCCTATGTTTATTAATTTTTTTAGATTGGGTCCCCAAATTAACTAATTACAAATATAGCCATCATCGTTTCATTTTTATTATAGATCGAGTCCCTTTGTCCTAACTCCACTAACTATTTACTTGGTTAAGTCAGGGGTAATATTGTAATTTTATTTTTTCTTCTTTTTAAAAAAGTAATATATATGTACATATGACTGACTCTAGATGACGACCATCGTCTCTTCACTGACTCCAGATGAAGGCCATCGTCCCTTCACCCCTTCACCAACTCAAATGAAGGCTATCGTTACTTTGGTTGCGTTTGGTACATGGGACAAGATAGGACATGAAGAGACAAAATTCATTGTCTCACATTTGGCACGACATGGGGAACGACAAGAATTCATTGTCCCACGTTTGACGAGGACATGGGATAGTGATAGAAATATGACAAGGTGGAACAGCATGGGACAAAAAAACTTTTTTCTTGTTCCACAAAAATGGGTGTGACAAGATGAGACAAGAAAGAGACATAAACTAAAAATATTACTAATCTACGCTCGTTTAATATTTAACTTTAATATGGTATTTGTTTTAGTGGTCACCAACTAGTCAAAGGCGATTATGGTATTTGTTTTAGTGGTCACCATCGTTAGTCGCATGCCGTCGTCGCCGTCGCCGCCGCCGCCGCCGGCTACCGAGAGCCACCATCAGCAACCTCCTCTTCCACTACAACAACCTCATCTACCACCTCCACAACCACCGTCGGCAACCGACCACCATCGTCCCTTGCCGCCACCGTCAACCACCTCCACCTCATCCTCTACTACAACAACCTCATCCACCACCTATATAGCCACTGTCTGTTATCGATCATCACCATCTGTTGCCACCACCACTACCACCGTTGGCCACCTTTACCTCCTTGTTTTTGTAAAACTGATTGTTTTTTTGCTTTTGGTTATGTAGATATTTTTTTTGCAACCTTGCCAAAATCAACTCTTTTTGCTATTGGTTTTGTCGACAGATCTAAAAACCCTAAGAAGAGTATGATTATGATATTTTGTATATAAGAAGAGAAACCATGCTTGAAAGAGCAATTATAAATGTATAAATTCATTAGAAGTAAGCTTTTGTTCTTTAAAACTCCAATAAAATAAAAATCAATAATCCAATTCAAGTATTGTTGATGATTTGGTGACCGGTGAAGAAAACAACCGATTTGGGATGGAAGGCCACATGTCAGTTTATAATTGGGTGCTTAAAATGAAATTTTAAGCAATCAATAAAAAGACTAAAATACCCTTAACTTAACGAAATTAGGTTGAAGGACCTAATCCATAACAAAAGTGAAACCATAGTGACCATCACCGTAATTATTTCGTTTGTAGGACCCAATTCATAATTTTAATATAACCACATGGACGAAATCTGTAATCTACACTTATTATTATAACTAGAAAAGTAATCGCGCAATGCAGCAAGACACATCTCGAATTTAATGCTCTATTTTATTATTTGTCTCTGTCGATGTTATAATACGATTTTATGTGTTTTTAAGAAAACAATAATGATTTTATTTTTAAATAAAATATAAATTTGAAGATATCATAAAATTTTGAAAAATATATATATCAATTTTAATATCAAATCAACTATTTAAAAATTTTCATTTTTTATGTAATTTCTTTAATTTTTTTATTATAATTTAATTTAAATTTAATAATAAAATAATTTGTTTTTTGTTTAATAATATAACATTTTATAAAGATAATAATTAAGTATTATGTTAGAATTCAATGATTATTTTAATTATATTTTAGATATTTTATATTTAAAATGAGATGTTTATCATGTATTTCATTATGTTTATCTGTAGTTAGTTACACGAATTCAGATATGAAGCTTTAATAAGTTATACTTACGCACAATCTACTTGCAACCTTGAGTTTTAACTAATATGCATTAATAAATAGTACTTTACGCATAAAAAGTGGTTTTTAAGAGTTTTTGTCAAATGTTTTATAATATAGTATAGATAATAATAATAATAATAATAATAATTAATTTTACTAAAAACCTAACATTTTACAAGGTTGTAAATAGCGTGACGAATGGGTCAAACCTTAAGTTTTAGGAGTCACGACGAGATCAAGCTTGAAGTTTTAGGAGGCACGACGAAATTATTTATCATTTTTAATTTATGATATTTTAATTAAAGGATTATATGATTTATACACCTTTTTATCTCTTTACACCTTTTTATTTAAACATATAAATTTAGGATCATGAAAAAATAAATATGAACTGTTGAAGTGGACGAATGATATCAAAGATTATAAAAGTATATATATGCGGGCCGGTACGAAGCGGCGCTTTTTAACAGAATGACGATTTTATTCCATCCCAATTTTTTATTATTTTATATATATATATATATATATATATATACACACACATATATGGTTGGGTTCACGTGAGACCAAAGGTTTTTTCTGAGACTCATAAGATCAATTCTCAACCATTGAATTATATCTACATTCAAACAATCTAAATATTCATAAACGCCACGAGACTTCTCAATAATCACAAAATTTTTATCGTGCAACTTTAGACCATTAAATTATTTACTTATAAAGTTGATCAATGAACATAAATTGATCTTACGGGTCTCACGAAAAACCTTTTGGTCT